TGGGCTGGATTTGCCACCTTAGGTGTATGTGGCTGGTGCCTTAGCCACTTGAGCCACAGGCGCTGAGCCAAAAGTGCATATATATATTTTTAAGAAAGATTATTCTCAATAACTTCTATTAAAAAAAAAGTTTGATGGTTTGGTCCATATAACTTCACTGCTATTAATATGAACTTTTAACTTTCAATGCGTGGTAAGGTTTATTCTAATATTCTTTCAACATGACACCAACAAAATCAAAAGAAGCTAGTGAGGTGCTAACGTGTGAGGATTAATCCAGTGATTCCGGTCACAATGCATTCCAGGAGGAGGTACCCATGTCACTGGAATCGGACGGTATGGTTTATTCTTCCTTCCCTGATTTGGATAACCCAAATGGAACAGGAGGAGGGTAGTGGCTCTGATGGCCATTCCCTGGGTAGATTTCTGGCTTTTCTTTGGGCAACGGATGCCACATTGGAAGAGGTGGGAATATCAGTTCCGAAATCTGGTACTCAGGCCTTGGTGTCGCAGTCACTGAATTGGGTTTCACTTCCACTTCCTTCCTTGTTTCTTCATCTGAGGAAGAAGATCCTGAATGATAATTAGAGGAAACTTTATCAAGAGCCCTGTTAATTTTCTTGGGAATTTCATCCTTGTTCTCATCCTCATTTTCAAGTCTGGCAACAATGAATGAATTGTTTTTCTCTCCATACCAACAGCAAACCTCACATGGGTCTACCTAGAGAGTAAGCTCCTTTGGCAAGCCCAAGTCACTGTACAAGATGCAACTGTTCTTACAAGCTTTTAGGACATCAGGATCAGGAGTGTTTGTATGTTGTTGAATGTAACATAGTGTAAATTCACATTGGAGGGTTATTCATGGTAACCACAAAGGAAAAAAATATAGAATATACACAAAAAGAAATAAGAAAGGAATTTAAATGTTTCATTAACCCCTGATCAACTAAACATAAAAATGAGGGGTTTTTCTTGTTTTTTGTTTTTTGTGGAGACAAGAATCTCACCTTGTCATCCTAGGTAGAGTGCTGTGGTGTCATAGCTCACAACCACCTCAATCTCTTGGGCTCAAGTGATCCTCTTTCCTTAGCCTCCTGAGTAGCTGAGACTACAGGCACTTGCCACAATGCCTGGCTATTTTTTAGAGAGGGAGTCTCACTCTTGCTTCTCCAATTCCTAAGCTCAAGCAATCCATCCACCTTGGCCTCCCAGAGTACTAGGATTATAGGGATGAGCCACTGCACCCAGCCAAAAGTGAGGTTTAAAAAAACTCTAACGCAGCTTGGCGCCTGTAGCTCAAGTGGCTAGGGCGACAGCCACATACACCAGAGCTGGTGGGTTTGAATCTAGCCCGGGCCAGCTAAACAACAATGACAACTACAATGAAAAAAAAAAATAGCCAGGCATTGTGGGAGGTGCCTGTAGTCCCAGCTACTTGGGAGGCTGAGGCAAGAGAATTGCTTAAGCCCACGAGTTTGAAGTTGCTGTGAGCTCTGACAGCACAGCACTTTACCCAGGCAACAGTTTGAGGCTCTGTCTCAAAAAAATAAATAAAAAATAAAAAAACTAAGGCATAAGGAAAATAAATATCAAAATGACAGAAGTCTCTCTTCAGTAATTACTTTAAATGTATCAAACTCTCCAATCACAAGGCAGATGGTAAGATGGATACAAACCAACAAACCAACTATATGCTGTAAGAGACTCATTTTATTTATTTATTTATTTTTGTTGTTGTTTTCTTTTTTCTTTTTCTTCTCTTTTTATTTATTTATTTATTTATTTATTTATTTATTTTTGGCCGGGGCTGGGTTTGAACATACCACCTCCCGCATATGGGGCGAGTGCCCTACTCCGTTGAGCCACAGGAGCTGCCCAAGAAACTCATTTTAGATCCAAAGACACAAATAAGTTGAAAGTGAAAGGATGGAAAAAGATATTCCATGCAAATAGTAACCAAAAGACCAGGGGTGACTAGACTAATATCAGACAAAATAGACTTTAAATCAAAAAACATTACAAGAGACGAGTAATAAGAGATTCAATATAGCAAGAAGATATAACAATGATAAATATTTATAAACCTAATAACAGACTATAAAAATGTATGGAGTAGGTTGTTACCTGTGACTCAAAGGAGTAGGGGGCTGACCCCATATACCGGAGGTGGTGGGTTCAAACCTAGCCCCCACCAAAAACTGCAAAAAAAAAAAAATGTATGGAGTAATGCCAAAACTTATGGAATGCAGCAAAAGGAGTTTTAAGAGGGCATTTTACACCAATACGAGACTACATTGAGAAAGAAGCTGGGTTTGGTGGCATACACCTGTATGCCCATCTACATGAAAGGCTGAGGTGGGAGGATTACTTGAGCCCAGGGGTTCAAGTTCAACCTGGGCAACATAGCAAGTCTTACATCTCAAAAGAACAAAAAGAAAAAAAATCGCAAACAACCTAACTCTACACCTCAATAAAGTAGAAAAAGAACAATCTAAGCCCAAACTTCGAAGGAAAGGTGACAGAGGAAGACTATCTCAAAAACAAAACAAACCTATAGACAACTCAATACATGTGATACACCACATTAACAAAAGGAAAGATAAAAATCATGATCATCTCTCTAGATGCAGAAAAGGCATTTGACAAAATTCAACATCCATTCAGGATAAAAACTATTGACAAATTAGGTATAGAAACAAGGTACCCCAATGTAATAAAGGCCATATATAACAACCTAACATCATACTCAATGGTGAAAAACTGAAAGCTTTTCTTCTAAGATCAAGAACAAGACAGGGATGCTGGCTCAGTGCCTGTAGCTCAGCAGCTAGTGCGCCAGCCACACACACTAGGGCTGGCAGGTTCAAACCTGACCTAGGCCTGCCAAACAGCAATGACAACTACAACAACAAAAAATAGCTGGGCATTGTGGT